AGGTGCTGTGCCTCGTCTCTAATGTCACCCCAGAGCCTTCTCTGCTCCAGCCTGAACAGCCCCAACTCCCTCAGCCTGTCCTCGTAGGAGAGGTGCTCCAGCCCTCGGATCATCTTCGTGGCCCTCCTCTGGACCCACTCCAACAGTTGTCCTTGGTGATTTGGGGGTGTTTTCTCGCTTGCAGCTGACCCTCCTGGTGGTCCAGGTCAGCATCCTTTACTATGGCGGGCACCTCGTGATCTCGGAGCAGATGACAAGCGGAAACCTGATATCCTTCATCATTTATGAGTTCGTCTTAGGAGACTGCATGGAGGTGAGTCTGGTGTGTCCCTCTGGGCTACCCCACATCAAGACGATGTTTATCTGCTAGAAGGTCCCAGGGCAGTCGCAGGGCTAGACCCCGAGTTGACTTCCCTGCGATGCAGTTCCTTGGTGCTGTGGCTTTGCCCGCCGGTGGGCTGATTCTCCCCTCTGCTCCCGACTCCCCTCCTGCTGTGCCCTTGCAACCTGAACGTGCCCAAAGCAGCTCGTCCCCCGCTAAGAAATGGGGACCAAAGGGGTCAGGCTGGCCCTGCTGAAGAGCAGAGTCCTGGCTGCCTCCCAAGCACATTTCCTAGCGTGAAGGATGCGGGGATTACAAAGCTGCCTGTTAAATTTCAGGCTTCATTAAAAAACTTAATTACAATACTTCCCCCCTCCCCCCGCCCCCGCCTGCAATAGGCTGCAAGCTGCTGTGCTGGCAGCGTGTTAGCAAGATGGGATAGTGGGTGGGATGGCAGAGCCCACCCAGGGCTGCCTTTCCCTTGCAAATGATGGTGTTTCCAGGCTGTGGTTTTGGGGTTGGTTTGCTTTGGGTTTTTTTTTTTTTCCCCTCCTGATGGGAGGGTAGGTTGCAGTACAAGCTGTTCTGCAACTCTGGGCTGAATATGGAAAAGGGCCAACGTGATGGGGGTTTATTCCAGGGAAGCCGGTGTCAGCGTGCGGCAGTTGTAGCAGGGAAAGCAGAATGGTAAATCCACTAGGACCACAGCCCTGCAGGGAACAGCCGTATCAGCTGCCAGACGGTTGTCTCGAAAGGTCCAGCCTGCGCTGCTCTGCATTTGAGACACGTGTGCTGGGGAACAGAACCACAGAATCACAGCATGGCAGGGGTTGGCAGGG